ATCATTAAGAAATTTTCCCAAAGGGAACTGGATTCTATAGATATAAAATATTTATAGTAATGAAAAATTAGAAACTAGAAATGCCCAAAAAGAATAGTTAAGTAAAAAAGGTGTATTTACTCTCTGGAATATTTATAGTCATTATAATAATTGCACATAATGATTGTTTATCATGAAAAAATTATAATAGGAATAATGGCTAATATTTATTGAGCATTTGCTATTTGCCAGGTACTATAGTATTTCATATGCATTATGAGATAGGTAGTAATAATAGGGTTGCCAGATTTAGCAAATAAAAATACAAGATACCCAGTTCAAATTGAATTTCAGATAAATGATGATATTAAGTATAAGTATGTCCCATGCAATATTATCTATTGTTATCTGAAATTCAAATTGAACTGGGCATCTTGTATTTTATCTGGATAATAGTAAGCCACTTTACTTATGAGAAAACGAGGACACAAGAGAGTAATTAACTTGCCCGAGGACATACAGCTAATAAATTTGTGATAAAAGTTGACAAAAAGGTAGAACAGAAAATTTTGTCTATGAACAATTACAAATAGGTGAAACATACTCGTGTTCCTGGACACAGCTGAGCGGAAACACAGACAGGTGATACTACTACCACCAAAATCCATTTATCGAGCACTTACTCTGGGCACTATGCTGCAACAGCCTCCCATTCCCACTTTACAGATGAATACACAGTTAAATATCTTGCTCCAGATCATAAAGCAAGTTAAGTGCAGGGTCAGATTCTGATTCCAAAGCTCTTGCTAGTTCCACTTGGTTACCTTGATTTCCTGGGTGACTTCATTTTTTTCCCTTTCAGATGCAGTTCTATCAATGTTGATATAAAAGTTTTCGTGTGATAAAATAGACGCACGGGATGAATATTTCAAGATCTGAAAAACCTAGTCGTTGGGGGTTTGCTTTGGCTTAAAGCCATTCATTCCTAAAGACAACCTGATGAAACAAACACTTGAAAGAAAAAGTTGTGATGCATGCTTATGGCTGAAATTGTGATTTCATTTAGAAAGTGGAAATACATACTCCAAGTTATCCTTTTAAAAATGAGACTGCTCTCCTACTTCTGCCTCTCACTAAGCTCCTCTTCCTTCTCTATACACTTCAGGATGTAAACTTGTTAGTTCTTTCAAGTAAGTCAGTTAAGGGAATATGAATATTTTTTTAAGCCAAACATATGGGAAAGCACATGTGCACACACAAAGCGCCAATATGCTTTTAAAGTGTAAGCAATGCCTATCCTCTTCACATAATAATTTCAGGGTGATTTCCCTTAGGTGTCAGCTTAATTTTTCCTTGACAGTTTACCCCACATCAAAAAGTTTATGCTTTTGATTGTTTATTCTAGAAGAGGCAGCTGGCCACAAGGCTGCCTGTGATGCCTTTACCACAGTTTGCTTTTGTTTTTCCCTCTTGATAATTACCTCATGACTAAACCACTCACTGGTCCATGTAGAGGAATCCCACAGAGATGAAAACACACTTGTTTAAATAAAATATTTATGAAGAAGTTCTAAAATGTCACTGAAGTAAATGCAAATTAGATCTTCACATATTGTGCCACTCATTCCTTAGAAGGCTCTCTAATTTCTGATTGCAATTAACATTAATTTTTAAAATTAATCCTATTGTGCATAATCACATTAATGTCTATTCATAAAAATTCAGTATTTTAAGGTTCTCTTTTGACGATCTTTAAAAATCTGAATTAACGCTGATATTTAATGTTGATTATTTTGAAATTTTTTCCTTAGAAACAGTATTATTTTACATGTGTATCTTCTAATAAGGTACTTCATTCTAAGTCAATATAATGTGACGTTAGTGAAGTTTCCATATTCTGGCCTCTTAATGAAATAGTTGGACATGATTTTCTCAATTTGTTCTTCTTTTTTTCTCCCCATAGAGTGAACGTAATAGATTCTCACATTTTTAAAGAGCCTGAAAAATAAAATTTGGGGATAATATTACTAAAATAAGTTAAGAATCAGTTGATTTGGGTACTAACTGTATAAGGGTAACAGTCAAAACCCCTGACTTTTAATACTATCTTTTCTAATTTTGTCAGAAATAAATATGAGCTGAGGAAAGTTAATTTACCCTTCACTTTAGGGTCTCAACAGTTGTCCTCCACCTGGTTACACATTTGAATCAGCTGAGGAACTCAAAAAATATACTGATACTAGGCCCCAGCCCCGAGATTCTGATTTAATCTAAATGTTGTTTGTTTTATTTTTGTTTTAGCTCCCTAAATGTTTCTAATGTTCATTCAACAGCTGAAAACCAATGGTCTAGAAAAAGCTTTTCCCGACCAGGTTAATGTCACCTAGAAAGAGGACTCATCGATGATGTGTCATAAGGTTTTGCTTCACACCCTGACCAGGTGAACATTCCCTAGTTCACCAGAAAATGAAAAGTCTCTAGAAATACAATGCTGAACTGTCAGTGGAAAACCAGTATCGTGAACAACTCATAAAATTCAAATATTTCATATCATTCAAATTCATATAATTCAAAAATTCACATAATTCATAAACAAAAACTGAGCTGAATCTTTATAATTGCATAGAATTTAATCTGGACTGAGATTAAATCCAATATAGAAGTACAGAACAGAGAAAGCTGGTCTTTATAAAGGTGGCTGATGAAAAAATACCTAGGAAATTTTCATTGACAGTAACTCCTAGATTCTTAATATATGTGATGTGTTTACCTAAGAAGCTACTTTGACTTAGGCTCCATGGTGGAGCCTAAGTGGAATCCATGGTCTTGGCTTGTACAATCAAACAGCTTCAGGGGGATGGAGACAAATGCATCTGATGTAGGAATTAATGTGGACGAGGAGAGGAAAGACTGACATGGAGAGAGATTGTGGCCTGAGCTGAAGCGCCCCGAAGAGAGGGTGCACTTCAGAAGCTGGCTTCATTCTCAGTTCCTTTCACCTTGCCCCACCTCCCACAACTTTTTCTTCATAAGCAGAATACTTCCTGACACAAACCAATGATCCTGAGGAGTGTGGGTCTACCTCAAAACCCCTGCGCTCCAGTTTAAGAAAGCAGAGCAGTGTTTTTAGGCACTCAAAGAGTAGCAAGGTATACTCTTATCTATGGCTATTTCTCATCCAAGGAATCAGATCTGTCCCAGTGCAGGAAGTCTTAAGAACATGCAATACAGTTTGTGGATTAAAAAGAACAGAGTCATGAAATCAGCTCAAAAGATGAGCAGTGTTAAATATGCAACTCAGGGAGAGGCCTCATCCACCTTCTCTCGCACAAAAGCCAAAGAAGACTGCCTACGTGGAATAACGATGGGTACTAATGGCACTGTCACAGGCAAGGAAGTGGGACTTATCAACACTAACACTTGGTTTGGATGAAGCAAGCTAAATAATTTTCTTAAAAAAACCTGCTGCTGAATGACAGAACTTTCCTCACTTAGAATATCACCTTGGGCCCCTAGGTCATGAAATGAGGCCCTCTTATTCATGCCTGCAGTCTGTGCCACACATCACATCCAGCAAGGAGCCACACAGAGGCTGGATGTTAAAACTCCAGGGAAATCATTTGGGATCAACAGTATTTCTTGACTTAATTCTCTACCTTGAAGTAACACATTAGTGATCATCTGATAAACTTAATTAATGTAACCACAGGCAATGGGGAACAATAATCTTTCTTTTTCACTAGAAAAAAAAAAAAGGTTTTGAGTAGGAAAAAAACTGGTATAAACTTTTAACAGATGAATTCTCTTTACCCTACAGACCCATTTTGAATATACTATCAAGGAAATGCTATTTAAGTCAGGCTCAGTGTGTATCTCTTTATGAATCAAATAATTCTCTAATTTGTCCGTTGAGTAAATAGATTTTTATATAATGGATTGGCTTAAAATGAAATAAATTCATGCTGCATAATTTGCACAGCAATAGCTCATTTCTCATTATTTATACACAGGAATATCAAAGGAAAGGGCATTTTTTACCCCATCTTTAACAGTCCAACCACAATCCACTTTTTAAAAAGTACTTAGGCTTAGAGAATATTCGAGAAAATAATTTCTCCAGGTGAGAAGAATTTCAAGTAAATATTTGGAAGGAATGCGTCTCCCAGTAACCGGTAGTGGACGAGAAGACAAAGCTGGGAGACCCAGAACCCCTGGGGAAAGCAAATGGCTTCATAAAAACTCCCTCCTCCAACCTTAGTTGGTCAAACGCCAAAATAAATGAACTTTCCAAAGTTAGGAGCTTCGCAACTTTCACTAGGGACACAAGCAGGTGCACAAGCGGTGACCAGCGAGCCCACCGATCCGGGTGTGCCCAGCAGGGCGGCTGGTCCAACTAGGCGCCCAGGCCCAGGCCGCTTCCACGCCAAGCGACCCGCAAGGAACGGGTTCAGGTGCAGTTGCCCAGGACACGAAGCTCCCTGTCCCCGGCCTAACACCGGATCCCGCCCTGCCCTTCTCACCCCAGACCGAGAGAGAAATGGGCGCTCCGGCGCAAAGATGAGGAGCGCCCACTGGAATTCAGCCGCAGGCCGGGGCCGTCCCCAACTCCCAACTTCCCAGAGTTTCCTCCGGCCTCTTCCTCTACCAACAGCTCACGAGGCCGCCGCGGCCTCCCTTCGTTCCGAGCGCAGAGCCGGGGAAGTGGAGCGCTGAGCTCGGGAGGCACCCCCAGGAGCCCGAGCGATGGAAGGCAGGTGGCGGGCGTGGTCCCTCCAACCCTATCCCAGCCCACTCGGACTCGGCCTCCGCGCAGCAGCCTCCGCCCGGGGCCCCGCCGGGTTCTAACCTCAGGCCCGGGTGCACTGGTTCAGGATCCCCTCCCTTATCTTGGTGGCACCCTCCAACCACCCACCCACCTCTTCCCTCCAGTGCGCGTCGCTCTTCTACCTCAGGCCCCGGTGCGGCCCCAACTCCCAGCCCAGGGCCCTCCAGTAGCGCCCTGCAGCGGCAGCTGCACTCACCTGGGTCGCGGAGCCGGGGTCTCGAGCGGTCCCGCAGGTGGTAAATGAAATCCTGGCAGCTCTCGTGCTCCAGGGCCCCACGGGCACAGAGCTCGGCCAGCAGCTGCAGCGCCTGGTGACAGAGCGCGTCCCTGGCCCCGGGCATCGCCCCCCCGCATCCTCGGACCGCGCCGGGCAGGCGGGCGCGGGAGACAACCCTCCGCCTGCCAGCTCAGAGCCGTCGCCTCCGGGCCGTCCGCGCTTGCCGCCAAGGACTCGCCGAGAAACGGCCTGAGCCCCAGCCCCAGCCAGCCCGGCTTCCCACCGGTTGCATGCAGCTCTTTGCCTGTCGGTCGGTCGGTCGCAATCTCTCTCCCTCCCTTCCGGCCCCTCCGTCCCTCCCCCAGCACGAGGAGAGGCGGCGCGGCACAGCCCAGTGCGCCTTGCTCCTAGCGCTCCGCCCGCCACTCGTGGCTGCCGGGGGCGGGGCCGGGTCAGAGGAGCGCGCCGCAGGGTGGGATCCCGGTGGCCCCGCTTAGGCGCTCGCGGGAAATTAGGGGCGCTCGCCGGCTCCTAGAGGAGCGTGGGACTCGGCTCCGGACCCCGCGCTCAGAGCGGCCGCGCCCAGGCTTGGAGAGGATGAGCGGGTGCGCGCTCCGGGCGCTCTCGCCACGGTACCCTCTCCGACCTAATGTAAACCAATCTCTTCCCACCGCCGCTCGCCGCGTATGGCCAAAGCACGTTTTGGGGTGCGTTGCGCGAAAGGTGCAATCTGGACCTACCCCGCCAGATCTGGAGAACAGAGTGCCGGCTTCAAACTTGAAAAGCGCCTCCAGTACATAATCCATGGGCCTAAGGGTGCTAGACGCCCAAATGTGGGTTTGGAGCCAAGATTCGCGAACAAAGGAAAGATTTCCCAAGCGCAGGACCTTTTAAACCACCCTGGTGACTGGGAAAGGGTGGAAGCTCTCAAATCAGAACTCAGGCCAAATAAATGGCACCTGAGGAAGGCGCTGGGACTTACCAGGAGGTTCGTAGATCCTGGCTGGTTTTCTAAGCAACTGATTGGAAATCCAAGGATTTCCAACGTGTTTCCTGCACCCACCAAGGAGGAGTATCACAGAATCTGGGATGTTTGGAAGGGAACACAGGGCACCTCTCATACCCTCAAACTCTTCAGCCTTACAGGCAATAAGCCCATAAATAAATACGGAATACTGAGCTCTTTCGTTTGTGTGCCAGACACTGTGCCACAAGCTTTTTAGCTATATAATCTCATTTAATTCCCTCAGTAGTCCAACAAGGTCTGTATAACTGTTATATTCGTTTTACCAATGACAAACCTGAGACTCAAAAAGGTGACACCTGCCCAAGTGCATATATGAGGAGGCAAGGTAACCTCGATTTTTTTTTTTTTTTTTTTTTTTTTTTTTTTTTGCGTTTACATTCGCGTATCCAGGTCCCACTCTAAAACAATTAGAGTAGAATCTCTACAACTGGCATTCTTAGCCACAGGTTGGCTGTTGCTAGGGACATCTCAGAGAAAATCATACTGTTCAGGAAGGTAATTCAGGATGCCATTGAACGTTCGTTCACCCAACAGACAAGCTTTGAAATCCTGCTGTGAATGGTGCTAGGGCCTCAAGGACCTTCTATTGGAATAGCAGAGAAAATGCAGAGTTGTAAAGGTAAAGATAACCCGAGAGTTCTGGAAAGGTAAGTAGACTCTCTGCCCTAGGCAATTAAGGGAGAGAAGAATCCCGCTGAGAGGGAGCCACTGGAGGAGGTAGCCCAGAAGCTGGTCCTTGAAAGGAGGGAAAGACCATGTGAGGTGGATGTGCTATCGGTGAGAGTGTGGTGCTAGGGCTGGTGTAGTAATAGTGGGGAGGAGCTGTGTTAAAGCATGTGGAAGTCTAGTGCAACTATGTCAGAGAAAAACTGAAAACAGCAAGTTTAGTTAAGAAATTACTTTGAACGACAACATGGATAGATCTAAGGGTATTATGCTAAGTGAAATAAGTCAGAGAAAGAAATACCATATGATTTCACTTATATGTGGAATTTATAAAAATAAAACAAATGAACAAACTAAACAGACTCATAGATACAGAGAATAAACTGATGGTTGCTAAAGGGGGAGGGGATGGGCGAAAAAGGTGAAGGGGAATAAGTACAAACTTCCAGTTATAAAATAAATAAGTCATAGGGATATAATAATGTACAGTACAGGGAATACAGTCAGTAATGTCATAATAACTACGATGACAGATGGTTACTAGACTTACCATGGTGATCACACTGTAAGATATATGAAAGTATAATCACTATGTTGTAGACCTGAAATTAATATCATATGTCAACTATATTTTAATTTAAAAAATGAAGAAAAAATTACTTTGATAAGTCAGGCAAAATATGATGAGGGCCTAGATCAGGCTAAAGGCACTGGCTGATTCCCAGGTATATCCAAATTTGGAAAAAACATTTCAAATGTAAATTGACAAGACTGCAACCAATCAAATGAGAAAAAATTAAAGACAAGGAAGTTTTAAAAACTAACCTGGATCATATTGGTTGGTTCCTAATAACACCTTAAATTACGAGCCTAGAGTTTAGGAGAGAGGGGTGTCAACAAAAGCTCGCTGCCACCAGTCTAATGTTAAAAGGAGTGCCCAATCTGGGGTGAAGTAAAAGGAGAAACTTTATTCAGGTGAACACTTTGTAAACCAGGGAAACAGCCTCCTGAGAAAACTGAAAGTATACTCTCCAGAGGCAAAGGGGAGTCCTGCTTTTATAGAGAAAAGGTCCCACCCTAGTCCCTCATTGATCAATTTTAATGCAAATGAGGAATCTATATTTGCACAGTTTGGTCCCAATAAACAGCACTGTCCTGATTGGGCAGCTTTGCGTGTACTGATCTGTCCTTATGGAGCCGCTCTTATTGGTCAGTACAGATGCAAATAAGGATACAGTCGCACAGTTATAATTGGAGAGGGCAGGTTTCAGCCCATTGGTTTAAAGATGATTCCAGGAACTCCTTTATAAGGTTCAGCTCAGATTGCAGGAACACAGTGAATGAGGCTTGGCAGCTCAGTTTGTGGCTTTTCCCTGAAATGCAGTGGGCTTCAGAAGCCTCTGTCAGCAATGGCTGCTAGATTCTGGTGATGATTTTGAGCCCAATTAACCACAAGGAGTCCTTCTTGGCAAATATGGTCCTTCTCAGGGTTCACATGGGAAACTGGCAATCATCCATAGAAAGGCAGAGACTGAGTTGTCATATTGAATAAATTCCTCCAGGAAAGAAGAGCTGGAAAAATGGGAGAGAGCTTTGCCATATAAAATGTGGACTAATGAGGATAAGATTTAAAAGCACCAATCAGAGAAGGAAGAGAAATCAGACAAAGGAGAGTCATGGGGGCCAGAGGAGGAGGGGTGATCAACAGCATTGACTGTCAATAGGACTTAAGGGGAAAAAGAAACTGTCCTTTGCACGTAGTAGACAGTAAGACATTCATGATTTAAAGAAAATATTTACCGTGCAATCTACCATGTGGAAATTACTTAAGGTTTTTGTGTCTGAGGTTTCTGATTAGATAAACTAATATATGCATAATTGGGTTGTTATAAGTTTACATAAAGTACTTGGCATAGTGCTGCCACATAGTAAGGGTTCAATCAATATGTTTTTGTTGCTGTTGTGTGTCTACTACAATGTGCATGTGCTAGGTGCTAAACACAGTTCCTTAATCAATACTCACAGCATCCCTAAGTGGTAGATGTTATTTTTTCCTATTTAACAGGTGAAGAAAGTAGAATCAGGTAGTTAAATAATTTTCTCAAGGACAAACTGGGAGATTGTTTCCAGGAACAGTCACAATCATCCCTCCTGTTCCACATGTCCTTTTGCAATGTGACTTTACCACTCTTCCCACCAAGAAGTCAAGTCTATGTGGAAATGATATTCTAGTGTCAGAATGGTGGTTGGCTACGATGTGGAGAAAATGGAACCTTGCTGTACTGTTGGTGGGAGTGTGTGTGTGTGTGTGTGTGTGTTATGTGTGCACATGTTTATATGTGTGTGTGTATGTGTGTATGTGTGTGTGTGTATATATATATATGTATATATATATATATATATAAAATGCAATATTATTCAGCCATAAAAAGAAGGAAATACTGGTGTTTGAAACAACGTGAATGAACATGGTGGGCATTATGCTAAATGAAACAGTGAAATAACCCAGACAAAGACAGATATTGTACAGTATCACTTATATGTGGAATCTTAAAAAAAAGCTTATCTCATAGAAATGGTGGCTGCCAGATGCTGGGGGTAGAGGAAATGGAGAGATGTAGATCAAAAGGCACTTTAAATACATACAATTTTATTTGTCAATTATTCCCCAATAAAGCTGGAAAAACAATAAAAGCAATCTGTAAGTCTTCTATGCTGCTCTTAGACCATATCCTCACTCCTCCTCCCAAGAACCAGAGTCTGTACTTCGGGAATGGTTTGAGATTCCTAATGGCAAGACTTTCTATTGTCATTTTGATTTAGTTCTTTGCCAGATAATTGCTTTTAATGAAAGAAAATAAGATTCGACTGGCATGACTTGTGTTTAGTGAGCCTATGCTATCTTCCAGTGATTAGCACTCCCATGAAATACAAACCTGCTGCTTCATTATTCCAAACAGGTATTCATCCTCACATTTAGAGCCTTAAATAAAATTCACCTGGGCCAGGGGACTAGCACTCAGCTCATGTTCTCTGACAACCGCTCTCTCATCTTGGGCATCAATCTTCTTTTAAATCTCTGAGTTTGGCCCTTCTCTGTTTGGAATAAAGTTTTCTTGAGAGATTAAAAAAAAAAAAGGCAAATTTTGGATTGGGTAGGTCCACATTGCCCATGTGTTTACTATTACACCAAGTAGCAAATCATTCTGGGATGTTCAAAATCTTTATTCTTCCTTCCTGGGTTGTGTCAGTTCCTTCCCAGTTTTCTAACAGCCAGTTACAAAGCTCTAACTCCAATTTCTTTGACTTTAAATAAAGTAGAGATTTATTAGCTTTAATATCTAAAAGATACTCCATAAAAGAAGTATGCTGAAAGTAACAGAAGGCAATGTTGCGGGTCAGAAGACCTGGCACTCCTCCACTGTCTCTTCTTAGAAGACACTCATGGTTCCACATTTGTTCATCTTTTCAGAATGAGGCCAGAGGAGAGAGCAGAGGTCATATTTCAGCTGACTGAGAAAAACCTGGACACCAAGTAACTTTTTTAAAAAAAATACTTTTTGCATTCTTGGAGTTGCCTTTCAAAGTAGTCGATGTCCCTCACCCTGAACAGGTCTGGGAAACTGCTGGAGTCACTCTG